CCCTGAGAAAATGTGCAAAATTGGCAGGTAAAAATATCATTTTTTGCTTGAGAAGTATGCATAAAATGCACGGTATTTTATGAGGAAGTGAAGCGAGCGAGCGCCTCAGAGTCACCTGTGTTAGTCCCTCAGAGGTGTCGGTGAAAGGCCGTCAGATGCGCTGGTGTGGGGTCCTCGCAGGCGCCGTTGTGAGGGCCTTAGGGCTTAGAGACACTGGTGGGGGCCATCACTTAGGCGTTACCATTGAATCCGAGTGATCACGGGCCGTTCAGGTAATCAGGGGCCTCTCAGGTGACCAGGGGCCTTTCAATTGATCAGGGCCTTTCAATTGACCAGGGGTCTTTCAATTAACCAGGAGCCCACCAGGTGACCAGAGGACCTCTGATAACTAGGGGACGGTTATGCCAGGGGCTCTACGGGTAACTAAGGGCCTTTATGTGACTGCAGGGGCCGTTCCATGGGCCCTTCAGGTGACCAGGGTTTCTTCAGATCACTGGCCAGGGGTCACCCAGGGGATCAGGGGCCCCTCAGGTAGCTAGGGGCCCCTTAAATAACTAGGGGCCCCTCAGGTAACCAGGGGGCCCTCAGATTACCAGGGGCCCTCATATACCAAAAAGCCCCACTGGTAACCAGGGGCCTCTAAGATAATCAGGGGCTCTCAGGCAATCACGGGCCCCTTATGTAATCAGGGGCCCCTCAGGTAAGCAGGGACCCGCAGGAAACCAGGGGCCCCTCAGGTAACCATGGGCCCCTCAGACAACCAGGGCCCTCAGGTAACCAGGGCCCCCTGTAGCCAGGGGCCCCTTAGGTAACCAGGAGTCCTTCAGATAACTAGGGACCAATCAGGTAACCAGGGGCCCCTCAGATAACCATGGGCCCCTCAGGTAACAAGGGGCCCCCCAGATAACCAGGGACCCCTCAGGTGACCAGGGGGACCCTCAGGTAACCAGGGCGCCCCCCAGGGCCCCCATGGCCCCCCTTGGGTACGTCACTGCACTCAAGTAACCCAAAGGGCCCACTTGCATGTTTGATGCCAAAGGGGGAGGCCATGGCCTCTTGGCCTCCCCCCTGGATACGCCACTGACCATTAGACTCCCCGTGACGAGCTGCATCGAACCGGTACCCATTTTATGCAAAAATATCAACTTTGAAATCTGACCTTTTTTGACCTGACCTCCACCAGAAAGTGACCTAAACCGTACCTAATGGTCTTATAACCAATACCATTGAGTAGGAAATGAAAAACTGGCCATAAAACATGCATCCCACAACTTTAGTAAAGTTGGGTTCATGTGGTGACCCTTGGTGACCTTTGGTGACCTGACCTGTGAACTGACCTGGTATGACCAGTGACCTCTAATAGCAACGTATGTACTAGACAACTGAAGCCTTATCGCTGATTTTCGACAAAATGCGTTTTACTCGGTGTTATAGCGCTTTCCCTAGAGGCCCCGTGAACGGTGAAACATTTTATCTTTGACCTGACCTGTGACGTCATCGGTGACCCCGAGGTCAATGAAATTTGGTTTCCTTCAACAAATTTGACAGGGCTATCGAACGCCGTTTGAATTTTGCGGATCCGTCCAGTAGTTTCGGAGATACGAGGGGGGCACTGTAGGCCGGCAGCCTGAAAAAGCGCTAGAAATTCCCCCAAACTGACTGTCCGCAATATGAACAAAATAGGTACCATTTAATCCCAAATTGATCGAAAAATACGATTCCGATGCTAGTTTTGCCCTAAGGTCAAAATTGAGGTCGTCACATGTCACCAAACACAAGACAATTTAGACTCTATAGGCCACCACATTTACCGATTTTAATGATGAACTTAAGTGGTAATTTATTAGTTGACCAATCGTTTTGAACGAAATTTCTTGTCAGACTAGTTCAGGGCACTGTTGTTCACTGTGCCAACATCATTCTGACATATTGCATCGCTTTTCTGCAAGATAAGCTAGCTGTTTGCAAGCAGCTGCAAGACGTAATTTAAAATCATATCCAATTTTTCAATTAGACTTTTATAAAAACGTTATTTCGAGCGGCTAAAAATGAACATTTCATACTAGCCTCTGATTACTCATCTTTTGTTCCATGTAGGTGCTTTGCTGCTTTTCCCTGCTACTTTTCGAGATATGCGCCAGTAAACCACATGATGTAGGGGCAATTGTCACCTCGCCGCTCTACTGAAGGACCGGCGCTCTTTAAAACGCTGGAAGTTGTGAAAAACAAACACTTATAATCTGGATGAAATATATGTCCCTGAGCTCAGAATTGATCAACGCACACAATGCTGTCAACATTTCTGGGCCAAACTCAAAAATTCAGTCATTATTAACCCCTAAACACAAGTCAGTGATAATCAACAACAACTTGCTCATTAGTTAGACTTTTGAGAAATGTTATTTCGAGCCGTTAAAAAATGGTCATGCCATACAAACCACCAATCATCTTTCTGTCATGCCCTACTCGCAATTTTTGCTAATGCCTGCTACTCTTCGAGGTCACGTGACCTCACCATTAAAAGTGAATGGGGAAATAAGGAAACTGTTATTTTTGCGCATGGAATGATTTCAAACTATCTCAAGCACACGGAATCGTGATTTCGTGCACTCCTTGCAAGATCCGATGCTTTACTTTTGCATTTTTGACCTTCCGTGACGTCATTTATGACGTCACACTGGTCATAGGAGTTTCTCGTCAATAACTCACGATCAAATTGAGCCAGCGACTCGGGAAAGCCACCAATGGACTCGGGAAGACCTCCCGAATCGAATGATATGCAATACGACCTCCTTCGATTAAGTTCGTGGCCTGATGGGCTCTGAACTGACCTTGACTCGAGGTCAATACCTTAAGTTGACCTCACCCGAACAAAAAGTATACCACTCGACGCGCCTGAGCCAGGCGAACACGATGGTGCCAAAATCGCTGCTCTGCGGCCATTTTTTGCGAAATTATTTGCCAAAAACCAAACCCTATCTTGGGCTTTTTGACTTCACCTCAGAGGTTACCGGTTGACCTGGGACCTTAAAATCGGGTATCAATCCTTCCGCCTTGAAACGGCGCACACGCTTGTTTTTTTCCGCGAGGCTCTTGCTCCATTAGGGGCGAAACGGCAAAAAGGGGTCGTACCAACCCTCCCCCCTCGGCCGGCCGAGGGGGTGGGGGTCCGACAATAGGTCCGGCGAGGTTTAAGCAGCCCCACTTCGTTTTTAGCATGTTTGCTTGTCACTGAGATCAACAACTCAATCACAAATAATTTCTAACACTTTTCCGGACCCCCGGCCCAGTGTGGGGGGGGGGGGCAAAAAAATGCCCCCCCCCCCACCGCGCGGAAGGTGGCTGGGAGGCCCATCGCCTGCCGGGTTAAAGGTAGTGTGCCAGCTTTCTTGGACCGTATGGAGTTAATGGCCCAGATAAGGAGAACCGGATTTTTAGAACTTATCCATACCTTCAAAACTCATGGAAACGTCTTAAATTCTTCAAATTTTGAGTACCCCAGTGCGAAATTCGCCCCGACGGGTTGTCGGTCGTACCCCAACCACATTTCACACCACTATGAACAATAAATGCACACACTGAAATCGCTATTACCGATATGCTCATCCAATCAAGTTTCGATAAACCCGTTCATCATCATCTCCTGCGGTTTCGAACACGCCTGTTAGGTGGCTTCTGATGCTCGTCGAGGTCGGAATTTCCAAATACGCGTGGTGCGTCGGGCCGCGCGCTCTGACTTCGGCCAAGAAAAATGCGTCAGCTGATCATTGTCATTTCTGCCACTTGCGTGTGGTGAAATGGGGTCATAACTTATAAGACGGCTTTTTCATATCAATTATTTTACATAAAATCATATTTCAAACCATAAATAATGTTCGACAGCCAAATAAAAGAAACAGTACCAATACGGGCTTACAGTTTAAGGCTCGACATTGTGTTGTCTACGATTAGACAGCTGATAACTCATTCCCGTACAGTCTGTCTTAAAAGTACCGCGCAAAGTGGCGGTGGATCCATCGAGCCTGACTGAGGAAGGGCCTGCTAAATTTGGGTCACCGAAGCAATGGACATCCTCGTCCATTCCCCAGCTCAATTGGTTCGGTGACTTTCAAATTAAAGCAGACCTTTCTCGGTCAGGCTTGATGGATCCACCGCCACTTTGCGCGGTACTTTTAAGACAGACTGTACGTCGTATGGTCGTAACACTATAATGACCTTTGCTTATTGTCACAAGTGCGCCGCATTCGCGATTGTTGCCCGACGCCTGTTTGCAGGTGAGCCCACTACAGTTGTTATACATATCTAAAAACCGATAAACTTTTAGGCGAAAAAGGCACTATTCCAGGCCCATTTTTGATTTTTTTGCGATATTAGGTAAAAACAGAAGCTTCTTATCCTAGGAAAAATAAAATGGGAAATTTTTCAAAGGTGGCCTGACCTCATATGACCTTTATGAAAAATCCGAGGTATACAAGTTGTGTGAAACTCATAATGGATACTAGATCCTGCAAGTTTCATTTCCATGTGACATCTCCTCTGGCAGTGAGGGCGTTGCGAAGTTGCGACATCTGAAGACCGTGCAGAGGTTCGCTTATGACGTCATAGGTCAGTGACCTGACCTGACCCAAAAATGCGGTTGGTGTCAAAAGATGCGGCTTGGATCAAAGGTCAGGTATGCAAAGTTTCAGCTCTCTATCGCCAGCGTGTTCGGAGCTATCTCGAAAAAACCCTTTGGGGGGGCGGCACCCGCCCCCCCCCCCCTCGGCCGGCGAGGGTTAAGAGATAGGGCCTTAGCTAAGGCCCACTTTTTAAATGAAGGGAACAAATTTCTTTAATGCCACGAAACTGAGGATATTGCGACCAGGATATATAGTGGTTTCTGAACCTGGCCGCCAACTTGGCTATCTCAACTCAGAACTAATGCAAAGGTGGGACAGTCCCTTTAAATGTGATGGCAATGATATGGTGTTATATTGACCATAATGTTTTCTTGTTTGCAGCTTCGCCTTTGGCTGCCTAACATTACCAGCCTACCGCTGGAGCGTCAAACAACGGAGGACCTGTTCAGGGCCCTCAGCGGTCCAATGCTGGACTGAAAGAACGACGGCTGGATTCTGACCTTCTGACACAAAAACGCTACGGGGACCTGCGCACGTCCACGTGGAGAGCTCAGGTCCGGTCCATCGCCGACTTCCTGGACTATGCATTCATTCTCGGACGCCGTGGCTCTCGGCGTGGACGCGAGGCGCTGGTCGCCTATGCTGGGCGTAAGTCATTGTTTTGCTTTGTACTTGGGGTGTCATATTCTGTCAATGTACAGCCCTCAGCAGACAGCGTGGTAGGTATTCTTTTTTCGACAAAACCGGTGATTTTTCAAAGGCTATGTTATCAGTCGGTCGGAACTCACTGCAAATAGATGCGTCATGCTCCACTTCTTCGATTAGGTCCATCACTAGACAAAGTATACGCCTTGTGTGGCAACAAAATGCAAAAGTCTGTTTTGGGGGCAAAAATAAACTTTTGGATTTTGTTGCCAAACTGGATAGAAAATGAACACGATGATAATGCCAATCTAAGGTGCGAAGTCTCGCGCGTCATACTGTTACGATTTCCGAGTGACCGATGGCATAGTATTCGCGTTATTCTCGGTTTTGTCGAAAAAAGAATACCTACCACGCAGTTTGCAGAGGGCTGAGTGTACACATAATCTCCAGATGGATGGTATTTTTGGTGATAACATACATCACGACTATTTCCCGTATTTACAGACCATGAAGGAACGTCTCGGTGGCTGGCGCCGAGCACTGAAAACAACCGAGCGAGACGCAGAGCAACACTACAGGGGCCAGGCGGAACGCATTTTAAGCCTTGAGGCGCAGGAGCGCTTTCTGAGGGTAAAAAATAAAATAAATACATTTACCTTTGCAACTATTTTAATATGATCGCATTGATTTCGTGATAAAATCTATAACAGAGTTATATGGGAGAAATTTTGAACAAGGTTTGATGTTATGGAAACAAATTACAGATTCAGCAAACTTGGCTATGCTTTTCTCTTTTCAGCCGGACCTGGCAAAGGCGATGGAGGTGATCCCCGGGCCGGGAGATCTCCCGACGCTACACACGGCCAGGACCGCCAGAAACCGTCTGATGACCATTCTGCTGATGACGGGTAAGCCTTTGGCATTGGTAGTAACCATGATGTACTTACCATGATCCTTCTCCTTTGTGACCATGATCCTTCTCCTTTGTGCGTAACTGAAATGAAAGTGTTTAATTGCGTTTTCCTTTGTTTATTTCAGGACGCAGAACTCGGCAAAAGCCACAAGCTGATCAGAAACTGGACTTTCAAGACGGCCAGACAACACCGCCACGAAGCGCCATGCCTCCTGAAGGCCTGGCACCGGCTGCGCTATTACCGCGACCAGGAGAGGCCTCTCCTGCTGGCGGTCGGCAGTGGCGCCCCTTCTGAGGACAGCGGCCGAGTAAGTGAAAAGTGCATATATATTATTAAGTCCGGTTTCGATTGTATATATTTCATGATCGTTCAGAGAGCAGACGGCGCACATCTGACCTTTTTTTCGTCCCTGTGTGTTTTAGCTGTTCATCAATCAGGGAGGCTCAGCCATTGACTCGAGCAATGCGGCTAAGATCTTAAGAACGGTGTGGCTGGAGGCCATGGGGGAAAATGCCGACGTGCCAGCCCTGACGTCTCGCGGCATCCGCTACGGAACTGTGATCGGCCTTGCGCCGACGTCAGAGAACCAGGAGTATGTAAGCTCAGTGTTTGTTGACGAAATAAAGCGTTTAACAAAATAAAATGTCCTTTCGACTTTCCTATTAACTTACGTTCCTTAAAATGTGAGGACCTTTATTATACAACCCCGTGCACTAGCTACATTTAATTAAAACCACATAATTGTCTAAAACTATCAAAACTTTGGTACCGTTAGATAATACTAACTTATTTCTCTTTTGTTGTAGGTACGTAGCGGCGTCGATGGCGCACTCCCGAGACACCCAACTATACGTGTACGATGTGCACGGCGGGGTCGGCGTGTCTGCGAGGGCACGACGCCATCATAAGAAAGCGGCAGCGGCTCGTCGCTGGAGACAGCAGCGGCAGCAGCAGTGACTCCGAGTTCCGAATGGGAGCAGCCCGAACACGCCACCACCGCCGATTCCTCCGCTGCCGCTGATTCTTCCACTGCGTCTCAAACCGCGTCGGTCCCTCTACCGAAGGTGAAGACGATGCTGCTGCCGCCACCACTCCGGACGCCGCAGCCACTCCATCAGCTGGTGGCGTCACCGCCACCGCCGGTACATCAGCCGGTGGTCTGCTGCCGCCGCCTCTGCGCCACGTGGACGGCGACAGGGCCCAAGTGGTGGCACAAGACAGGAAGGAACGATTTGGTCATCAGCAGAGTCGCAAGCCCTAGCGTCTGCATGCCGAGAATTCATAACCGGCGAAAAGCGGCGCTACGACGCTCGTGACATCTCAAAAGATGTCAGTGCAGTGCTGGGCCGCTTCACACCTCAGCAAATCCACGACAAGGCGAAGTATATGCGCCGACGCTATGTAAAATAAGTGCGACACAAAAGTCCGTGACCAGATCTTATACCTGATCTATACATTGAAGGCACTAGGATTACCCGTTGCGCCGGACGCGGCTGGCCGCTGGCTTCTTTGCTTGAGGACCTTCAGTCGGTGGCCGCGGGTGCGTACTGCGTATACTCGGGGCGGGCGGGAAGTCGTCCTTGTCCAGGCGGAAGCGTCCAATTTTATGTTAAATCTTATGAACTCTTATGTTAAAATATGCCTTTTCTTTGCGTCTAAGTTTGTTATGTTGTCCTTGATCGTTGTATATGTTACAGGGAGTATGCGATTTCAGTTAGTTTGCAACGACCCTAGGGTGAATGTAACCTCCCTGAACGATCAGTTTGTTTGCAACGACCCTAGGGACGTTACAAAATAACTGCTCGTTCCGGGACGTTGGAACGAAACTAGGGTCGTTGCAACCTCCCTAGTTAGTATGCAACGAATCTAGGTTTGTTACAAAATAACTAGGGAGTTTAAGAATTCATCGAGTCTCGTTTCACAGGAGGGCCGTCAACAATCTTGTCCAATAAAAATCCTGCTCAATCTAGTTCAGTTTAAAAGAAAAGGAGAACAAAAATTGAACATTCAGCTCAGGAGTATATGTGGTGCCCGGGACAAAGCACTGTGATAATTTTGGCTGCATTATATCGCCAGCATATGTTTACATGTAGAAAATATAGTAACTGGGGTAGGTGTGATGGATATCCGTCGCTATCCGTGTGCGGATTATCCCTCACACTTTTAGGGGTGCAGGTCGGATAAAACCCCTCGTTTTTTCGCGATTATCTCGCGCTAAGAACGGCCGATCGTGACGAAACTGAGTGTCCTCACGAACTTATCTGCGCTACTGGTTACACATTCCCTATATGTACAGTTCATGATCCTGAAACCAATGACCCTTGACCTTTGATCTGATTTCTGAGACCATGGCAGACCGAAATGATTTGCCGTTTATGTCAGCGCACATAAAATTGCGTTTCCAGACTTCTATTGTGATAACATATACCTAAACGTGCCAACACGTGAACTGATGGTTGTCCCATGCATCATGATGGGTTTCAAGTTGACTTGTCAGTTGTCGGTCAGGTCAAGGTCATTGACGTTTGGTGACTTTGCGTGACTGTTTCCAATTTTACGATTTAATGGGAATTTATTTAGGCTGAAACAGACTCTTTCCGCATTCAGGAAATCGCATGCGAGAGCCTATTCAAATACATTACAATTCTACCCGCAGCAGTCGCATCCGGGAGGTGCGTGCGATTGATGCGAGCGTGCTTTCATATATTTGAACAGGCTCTCGCATGCGATTTCCTGACTGCGAAAAGAGTCCGTTTCAGCCTTATTTCGAATCCAGCATTAGTTGAGACATTTGAGAAGTACGTATAGTTGTGGTGCCCAGGCATCGGTAGGATTGTGATTGCAGGATTGCAAAATCCTGATTGCATTCCTTTTTGGTGGATTGCACCTGGATTTGAAATCCATTCCAAAAAACAGGATTTGATTGCGGATTGGATTGCATCATACTTCCAATTTTTGCAATCCAATCCGGATTGCGTGTTTTGGTGTTTGCTTAGTGCTTTGGAATGGTTTGTTGCTATTGAAAATTATGAGATCGGCTTCATCGGCTTAATGTACTTTGCTATCAAGGGCTTTACATCGAAACTTGAAATAATTTAAACGCTTTTTATTTAAACGCTCAAAATAATATACGCTGATGAACTACATAGGAGGGGCAAAATTACGTATTTGAGGGCGAGTTTTAAAAATATAAAACACTGGTTGGATAGAGGTTTAAATGTGGGGGTGTTTGAGGCAAAAAAAAAATATTTCCCATAAAATACTTGTGCCTTAGATAGGAATTACTCGCAAGACTAGGTACTAGAAATGGGTGATATGGGGATGGAGGCACGGCCCTATGCCCCCCTCCCTCCCCCAGATCCACTATAGTGCACATAATAATACAACAGGATTGCAAAAAAGGATTGCGGATTTGATCACAATCCAAGTGAAAAAGGGGATTGCGGGTAGGAATGCGATCCACTTCGGCACTAGGAATGTGGATTGGGAATGCAATGCTTTCAAAAAGGATTTTACCGATGCCTGGTGGTGCCAATGCAACTTGCTACGAAGGTGTCGCTTGTGGTTTAGGCACAGTGGGTCTATTTATAATCTCCAGAGCCACCACGTGGCGCTACGGTCGGGGTAGGGCGAGTCCAAATCCCGAGGGAAGTGAGGTCACCGGTCATTGTGGGGGAAAGAGGGAGGGAGAGTGACGCGGTATCACGGCGCAAGGTGCGTGCGTAGCGCCGGGAGTGGGCCGCTCGCCACTGCGTCGAGGCTGAGGGGAGGGGCATGATAGTTGCGGGTGCGTTCACTCCGGTATGGTGGTATCCTGTTCATGTTGTATGTACGAGCAAGAATGCGACTGAAGGGAGTCATTACCTCAAACAAACGGGCAAGCGAGAGGCAGCGCCAGTTTCAGCCAAAATGTTGAACAATGATAATTGAAATCTAGGGCGTATTCATAGCATGCAACTATTCAGTCGATATTTGCATGATGCCTAAGGCTTTTCTAACCTGTTATTTGAGTTTGATATTTTTTCATTTGACACGTTCAGTTTTGGTGGGTTTTATCGGGTCGAAAGAATCAGAAAAGAAAAGAGTGGAAACGACACAAAAAATGACCAAAAATATTTTCTTTAAAATGAAACTTAGCTAAACATTTATAAGCGATAATTTTTACTTCTTTTAGAGGATATTGGGGAAACATGTCGTGCTTGTCTGTGTTGCAGTAGAAGGAAAGGTTTTGGTTCGTGTCTAGATAAAACCACACCCGGGAGTGGGGCTTCGAACTCACGACATCGCATTCAGCTCACAGGTTACCCAACCTCAACGCTACGAGCACCTACCCAGCGCAGCTTGCTCAAAGTTTGGGCTAAAGTTCGGCCAAAGTGTCTGACGTCTGTCAATGTCACAAGGCGAAACCCCAAGGTAAACGTCCGTTCCGGTAGTTTGGTCGGTAGAGCGTTGGACTCCGTGTGGTGAGAGCGCACGTCCCGGTTGTAAAAGTTCGGGTTCGAAACGCTTTGGAGCTTCCTGACGGGTATGGTTATGGTTGGTGGCAGGCCGCTGCCCGGCGAAGTCAGTGAGGGGACTGGTCGTTCGCGGCTGTGTGCTAGAGGTCTGCACCGGCCGGCTGCAGCCGCGGCTGGCTGCAGCCCCACGGCTGTGGGCCGGGGCGGCTGCAAAGATCTCCAAAAACACGGCTACGGCTGTGGCCACGGCTGTGAGATTTCAAGCTCAATCTTAAGTACTCAAATATAAAATTTTAAATCCTTAATCTTACATTCTGATAAGCAGTCAAGCCTGTAAAAATCATGCAAAGGATGCCCAGCAACATTGAAAGTGGCGAAGCCTTTGAAAACCTGTAATGGTTTTACCATTTGCTGTAGGGGAGTTTGCACTCTGGTACAGAATACTAATTATAGGTACCAATTGTTCCTTCATAATCAAGAGCTTTACAGTTTCAGAAAATGCAACATGTTGCATTGTCGCATCCCTCTCAAATCAATCTCACCTGGTCATTAGGAGAGCACCTTACAGCTATTGAAGACGAGCGTTCAATAATTCTTTCAGGTAATAGAAAAAGAAATCACGCCTAGGTAAAGACAGGTAAAGGCTTAATATAATATTATCTAAAATAACTCTAAGATGTATTTCTGGAAACTGGCGCTTTATGTTCAAACTGGTGTGTGAGTGACCGCTAACAGAAAATGCTGATCAACGAAGCCAATGGAATTAGATTATAAGTGAGCATGAACCTTACTTACGGTTAATTCACATGATGGTGAATACCCTGAACACGTAATTCACATGACGGTGAAAACCCTGAGCACAATATTTCTTACGCAAGCTGTTGACTTTACTAATAAAATGACGTCTTCTTCTGAAAATGTAAAAATTTGATACTTGATCGATCTTTGTTTGAGAGCAAGTTTTTAATTGTATAGCATTAATATTTATTATCTATAATTTTTTATGGCTGTTTATAGTGAAACAAAACAATTTATTGCCACTTCTTTGCTATTGACGTCATTTAAAACTCAAGTAAAATTTTTGATTGAAAGAGGCAATTGTGGCTCGCACGTCCTTGGGGATTTGAGCGAAGATCGTTATTTGGAAAAATCAAAATAGATGAATGTTTTTCTTTCTTGGATGCTCACTAGTGTTTTGATGCCTTGCATATCAAATTAGTTTGAGACTTGCTCAGAAGGCTGCTTCAAGCCTGGCATATCACACCCCAGAAAATATGCAAGGTAAGAAAGAAGCAAGAGTTTTGACTAGACAATCACTGTTTGACAGTCCATCAACCTCAGTTCAAGTTTCATTTTCCATACCTAACATTGATAATGAAAAGCATCAGAGCAGTGTTGCCAGGTCTAGAGGTAAACCTCCAGATCTAGAGGTTTTAGGGGAGCGTTTCGGGGCTCCTGGAGGTTTTTAAAAAATGCCGGATTCTAGAGGGTTTTCTAGAGGTAATCTGAAAATCCCAGAAAAGACGATTAGCATCAAGGTCTCTTGAGAACTATTAAGGTACTTAATTTCATGTTATTATCTTAAAGTATTGCATGCTTAAACACACTTTTTTTACAGATTGATGGAAACGATAAGCCTACTTTTGGCTTGTTCATTATTGAGGCTCTGGCCGCCGGCTGCAGCTAAAAGTTCTCGATATACCGTGGGCACCAAGGCTATGTAAACTTGGTGCCCACGGTGGGCACCAAGTCCACCAAGTTATGTTATGTGGACAAATGCAAAGGCATGCGAATGATGAGTGAATTATCTTGATTGGGGATACAACCGGGTGTTTCCAAGCCCACTGCCAGCTGCTGCCAGCGCGCTGACGTCACACTTTGGGTCTGTTCCAGTCCCACTTCCTAACACCTCTAAACTCCTCCAAGGGCAAGATAGAGGAGGTTGGAGCAGGGCCCTCCTTTGATTTGTAGGGGCTAGAGCTGACACTGGAACAGGGAAGCAATCTTGGAGGAGTTTAGAGGTGTTAGGAAGTGCGACTGGAACAGACCCTTTGGTAGTGTTGGAGCAATAGGCTTGATGATGTCATCACGCGCTAGCAGCGGATGGCAGCGTGCTTTGAAACGGCGCCACGGTTTGTGATACGGAGGTAGCTATGGAGGTAGGTATATATACTTTATAATCAGCGGCAATGGAACAGAGGTTTCTAGAGGTTTTTACAACATTTTCTGGAGGTATTGGCATCACTCGACCTGGCAACACTGCATCAGAGTCTGTTGTTCTGTCCCACAACCATGCTTCAGGATTTGGCATTAGATGTCTACACTGCTAGTGCTTCTA